CAGCTATTCAAGCAGAGATTACCCAAGTTCTCGTGATACCAGAGATTATGCCCCACCACCAAGAGATTATACTTACCGTGATTATGGTCATTCCAGTTCACGTGATGACTATCCATCAAGAGGCTATAGGTGGGTGACTTCTGTGGTTTGATGATGTGAATTGGCTGTGAAAATGGATCCTCTCGGACTGAATTGTTTCTCTTTCATTTAGTGATAGAGATGGATATGGTCGGGATCGTGACTACTCAGATCATCCGAGTGGAGGTTCCTACAGAGATTCATATGAGAGTTATGGTAAGATACTGGTTAAGGGTCTTGACTATTGCCAGCTTGAGTTTTTAGGTTCTAAGGCAGTTTTAATAGGCTGCGTGGTGCTTGCTTTTAAGGGGATGTTTGCTTGCTTTTAAAGGGGTAACTATCAGCTGGGCTTTTCCTAGTTTTGTGAGGGGCTTTTGTTTCTCTTTGAGTTTTTTTTTCCTTTTGAGGCTGTTTGCTTGCTTTGGAGGGGATTTTGCTTGCTTAAATTGGCAGCCTTATGTGTTTTCCCCCAACAGTGAAAATACAATTTAAAAATTTTATTAACAAGATCAAATGTTTACCATTGTAATATGAAGGAAACTCTACAGTTCAAAATTGCAACCTATCACTGGAAAGTGGCTGAGTGTCTACTATAAAATAACAAGCTCACTGGAATATCCACTTGAAATACACACCGTCTTCAGTCTTTTCAAAACAAACATTAAAATCAATCCATTTCCATATCTCAGCAGATGAGCAAATCCCTGATATGGCCAGCAGTGGTAGTTTAAAACCTCCCAGTTGAGAAAGTAAACTTTAATACAAGAATTCTGTAAATTCAGATTTAAATGTTGTATATATACAATTTATAGTGTTGCCATATTACCTGACCATTGACCCTGCAGGTAACTCACGTAGTGCTCCACCTACACGAGGGCCCCCGCCATCTTATTGTGGAAGCAGTCGCTATGATGATTACAGCAGCTCATGAGACGGATATGGTGGAAGTCGAGACAGTTACTCAAGCAGCCGAAGTGATCTCTACTCAAGTGGTCGTGATCGGGTTGGCAGACAAGAACGAGGGCTTCCCCCTTCTATGGAAAGGGGGTACCCTCCTCCTCGTGATTCCTACAGCAGTTCAAGCCACGAAGCACCAAGAGGTGGTGGCCGTGGAGGAAGCTGATCTGATAGAGGGGGAGGCAGAAGCAGATACTAGAAACAAACAAAACTTTGGACCAAAATCCCCGTTCAAAGAAACAAACAAAAAGTGGAAACTATTCTGTCATAACTACCCAAGGACTACTAAAAGGAAAATTGTGTTACCTTTTTTAAATTTCCTGTTAAGTTCCCCTACATAAATTTTATGTTCTTGTAAGGAAAGAAAGTAAAACATGTTTAATTAAAAAAAAAAAAAAAAAAAAAACAAAACAAAACAAATTCTGCAAACATTATAATTTTATTTAGTTATATGAAAACTGCATTGCTGAACCCATCAAAAGGATATTCTTAAGTGCTGACATTTGTTCTCCGGTTCTCTGAGACTTTACAATCCTGTCTCTCCCCTTCTAGCTATTAAATTCATCTCTGGCGGAAGTGCTCAGCCAGCCCTCTGTCCTTGACACCCCTCCTTACGTGGGTGGCCCGCTTAGCTGTGCAGGGCTGTCTCACCACACCACACATGCTCCAGCTATTGCTTTGAGGTTTTTTCTGCTATGCTTCCTTGTTAATGGAAACTAGCTGGGCTGGGTCAGCCGGGTTACAGAGTTAGGCATCTAATAACAATTAATTATCTCAAAAATGAATGAGTGATAACAGTTGCAAGCATGAGTCCTCCAGATAACACCTAGAGGTCAAAGGCCAACACAAAATCATGCCTAGCTTATTCAATCTTAAATACTGGGGGAAGGGGGAAAGATATTTAGTTAAAACTTGCTATGTCAGTTCTCTCTCTCTCTCTCTGTCTCTCTCTCTGTCTCTCTCTCTGTCTCTCTCTGTCTCTCTCTCTCTCTCTCTCTCTCT